GGTAAAAGTGAAAAAAAACAGTTTTGTTTGAGCCCTTTTAAGGGCATATAACTTCCTAAGGGTGCGTTTTAGGGCACATGTTAATAGGAACTTTTTGGCTTATTTTAATAAGTTATAAACGCAGCAGAAGTTTAGAACCCTATTTTAGAAACACCCTGTATGTACAGCACATCAAAATTTTTCGTTAAAACTTGTATTTATTTGCAATACATTATTAATAAAAATATACCGCTAAATTTTATTTTTTTATCTTGTTAATTCACAGGTTCTATTCCAAGATGGAGTTAATTGAGGTTATGTACCTAATAGTTGGCCCGCCAATTTGGAACTAGAATTCTGATTGGTAGATATTCCATGGTTTGAGCAAAAATTATTTTTATAGCTATTGTACATTAAATTGTGTTAAAATTTGATGACATTATATTCTCTTGATTTTTTTTAAATAAATATAAACATAACCTCAAAAGAGGTAACAGAATTGCCAACAAAAATCTAATGAAAATTCCAAATTTTTAAGCTTCCAGTAGAGACATCATCATTCTTCCAGTTTAATTTTATTTCTATAAATTACATTGAAATATGATAAACAAAACTGCAATTATGGTATTTATATACTTTATTTCATACAAGACATCTTTTAATTCGACTACCCAACTTCTAGTGTTCTTAAATCAAATTTGAACTGACCAATTCTGATTGCTTACCAAGAGGTAGCAATTTGAAGATCGGCAGTAACCTTTGACTATTTGTATCAGAATTAAATACGGTACATATTTTTGGTTGTGATGACATATTTATACAGGTCTTCAAAGTAATAAATTGGATGAAATCTACGTTTTATAGATAAAGAAAATGTCATGAAGAATAATAATAATTAAATTATTAAAAGACTATTACATTCGAAAAGTTTTGCTAAAGTCATAGTTCCCTAGTAATTACCAAAAAGAATAAATCAAGGAAAGCTGTGATATTCAGATGTAAATAAAAGAAAAGAAAAAGATTTATTGCATTCTTATATTGTATACTATTTAACATGTAATATCTGTTTTCTAATGAACATAAATTAATTAATATTCAAGATAGAAATATTTATTTGTACGCGAAGGTAGATATGTTTCCTTGAAGTGTGCAATATTTTTTAATAATAACAATGTTTTCAATTACCGTCACTCTTCATGCTAAAACTCACCGCTCAATTTGATTGTCATCGTTCAAGAGACAAAATATTCCGCATATTTTTTTTGATCAAAGTATCTATGAAAAAGTGGTTGTTACCGTAATTCATTTTCTGTGATTGAATATGTATGACTTATGCAGGATGTTAGAAGTTTGACTGTCTTAATTTTAACAGACGATAGAATACATGAAAATAAACAAAAAAACCTTATATGACGTGGGTCCTAAACTCAACTATTTCCGAGAAAAAATTATCAAAATCTCCAACTTGATGTACAAAAGTTCGATTAATATCGATATAACTGCATTCATAGAATACCAAAAAATACAATGTTTATAACTTTTTATAACTTCATTATGCTTAATTCTAAAATTAGCGTTGTAATAAATTTAAAATACTATAAAATTCATATTCAGCAATGTGACAACGGCGCGGCGGATAACACGAGGTTAGTACCTGTCCAGCAATACGGAATTCAGTAGGTATTTGGATTTGGGCCGTGTCTGAGTGTTTTTTGCGTACCACTATTTCCTTTTCTTGAGGTGTTTTCTAATGAGTGCGCGAAAATTGCATTCGAAGGTGTCGTGCGTGTATCGAAAATGGTGATGGACATTTTGAGCATATGTTGTAGTTTGTTTTGTACTTGAGCGTTTAAAAATTACTGAATGTTGCTTTTTGGGAAGTACCTAAATTATTTTTAATACGTATTAAAGATGAGTTGAAATTCATAATTTGATTAAAAATTAATTTACTGTCTTCAGAGATTCATAATTACTAAAATTCGAGTTAAAATTTAAGCACAACACTATCTTCGTACTACAAAATAAATACATTTCTTTTTTTATTTAAAAACTGGAAAACAATTGTATTCTTTACTAAATGTTCCACAATAGTAGTAGTTTACAGTTTTTCCCTAGGACAAGTCTACCGCGTGTACACGTGGTGTGCATCAGCAGGTTAAGCGCTGTTGTCACGTTGTGTTGAAACTCCCCAATATTAATACTCGCTGTATTTTGAAAACTGTTAATCTTACGCCCTGTAATATAAAACTTTTTTGTTTATTTATGATTACTCTATCTCAGCGGTATTTAAATTGTGTTTCGTGGAACCCTGGGGTTCCCCACAAACTCTCTGGGGGTTCCGCGACTCGATCAAAAATTGAAAATTTTGATATTAACAATACCGATACTACAAAATTCAAAGAAACGTATACTCTTACTTAAAACTAGTATTTATAAAATAAATATATTAAGTATATGTACATATAATCAGTAAAAAATGCGTTTGAAAATTTTTTTATGTGTCGGGGTTCCTCAAAAAATCGAAATGTTGACCGGGTTCCGCAAGACGTAAAAATTTGAAGACCGCTGCTCTATCTCGCGCTGAAGTAATCGCAGTCAAACTTCTTACATTCTGTATTTATGAAGCATCAATCACTAATAAGGTCTACCAAATTTGGTACTTATTCAATTGGTTTAGAATTAAAAAAAACATTATTGTGTCATCTGCAAGTTGCTACATATTTTAAAGGAATCGAAATTAGTTATAACCTATATAAAATTCTCGTTACAGAAACGACCCCATTACTTGCATATATTATGCTTATATGGGTTAAAATATATTGGTTTGTTGACTTGTGTACTTTAACAGTGTCTTCTGTTTTCTAATGCGAAGTTATCATGTTAATTCCTAGACAAGTGCGTGCTAGGTTTGCACAAAAAACCTGCTCAGCTGGTTTTAAGGTAAGCTCAGAAATAAAGGATCTTGAGTTACATATGGGGTCAAGTCAAATACTCTGTAGCATGTTTACCTTTTTATCCGATTAGGCAAAATTCCAGAGCACTTGGTTCTCTTCGCCTAAATCAAATATATTATTCATAACAGAGATGTTTAAATAAAGATTTAGTTTCATATTATCTTGTACTATTTATAAATGAATTTAAATGTCTTTTTTAGTTAGGAAATTCAAGTTCATTTTTTGTTATTTGTTATTAGAAATAAAAATGCATTAAATATTACGATATGATAATTCAACTGTAGTTTATAAACATATTTTGATTTATCTACTGCAGATTTGAACCTCAGTATTCCAATCGAAGCTGAAAGAGAGTACAAATACACAAAGACTGGTTAAAAATAGTGACGGAGCGCAATGAAACGTAAAATTTTACCTGATGGAGCCAGGGGGGCACATTGATTGTCATCTAAGCGCCAGAGTAGACACCATTGGAGGTCGGGTCGGTTTATTCTCTAATATACGTTCGATTTCGGTAACCATGTTGGTGTTCAGTTTTGGTATGAGCTGAAAATTCGTACAATAATGAAATATTGGAATATAGCAGATAAATTAATGCGGTATTTCCCCAAATGAATAAATTTACCTCACTTTCGATAAAAAAAATAAGCTTTTTACTACACTTTTTAATAGAGAAGATTTTTTTAATACACTTTCGAACGTGGATAAACTTTTGCATTAATTTTTTCATAAAATATACTTCCAGAAATTGCTAAACACAATACAATTTTGCTAAATGAGATTTTTTTAAATATATATTAATTTAGGGATAAAAAATACGAGAATATTTGAGGTAAATGCAACACATTTTCGAACAAGAAATATCTATATTAACTTTTTTTTTAAAATAGATCTAAAATCTTGCACAGGGACTCAGACCAATGTAACTATTTCAAAAATGAATTATAATGGTAAGAAAAGCACGTAGTAGTTTATATTATGAAAATTTAACACACATTCAAATAAGAAAAAAGTTTTTACCTCTGTTTCGAAGATATTTATGTATTTAGGAATCATGCACGGCTCTCTAAACACACCACTCTACATATTTTATTGAAGGTAAAATTTATCTTTCACCTTTACCCTGAACTTTTTAACTGACCTGTAAGGATTGCACGCTTTCGTAAAGTTGATCCACGGAACTAGCACCGAGTAGTAGACATTGCACCGATTCATTCTTCAAGCACCAAGCTACAGCCAGTTGGTTGAGTGAGCAGCCCAGTTTTTCAGCCAACGCATTCAGTTCCCTAATTCTCTCGGCCTGCCTTCTCGTTTCCTCGGGCTGGATCCGTTCTTTCATCCAGCTGTAACTCTGAAAACGGACGGAATATTTTGACTTGTGCACGATGTAAAGTAGGAGTTAACTGTCAGCGTTATTCTGCCTATGTGTAAGTAAAGCTTTCAGTCTAGCCCGGATCGATACCACATGAGAACATTTTAAGGAAGGCAAAATCACGTTTCTTCATTGATAAGATCTAAAAAATGGTTGAAAATGTGAATGTAATGGTTGTAACCACAGTGTGATTATTAAAAATAAATAACTAAGCAATTAACTTAAAACGGCGTTTAATTTTTGTATCTCTTCTGTTGAAAATGTATCTCTTCAAATGAAGAGGGATCAATACTTATCAAAATTTGTATCAATAATTTACTGTAAACACTAAATTTACAACGCTATATTCTGTTGTTACTTTCTGTAAGACGAATTTAAGAATAATTTTGCTCCACGTAACTTCATGCCACTATTTTTAATACGAGAATAATACCTCTTTGTTGGCGGCCGCCGTTTCATCTTCCGTCCAAGAAAAAGAGCTGTACTTGTTGCGGAAACTAGCCCGCGAGAACAACTGAATGCTGCTGTCGTCCTTCCCCTGAGTGAAGCCCATCGATATAGGAGACCAGGCCATTAGACCTGCAACGAAATAAAGGAAAAATTCACATTTACTTCGAGTAAAATTGTAAAGAAGTAGAAGTAACAATATTGGTCAAACTGTCGACCAATTTCCACGATGTTTTGCAGCTTATATTGATTTACTGAAACGATAAAAGAAACCAGTTTCTTCATAATTAAAAATCTGGTGTCATAGACAGCAATATAAAGAAAACTGGACAACATTATGAAGGAATGGTTGTATGAGTGTTAAACTAAGAATACAGAAGAACATTCTTATCAGTTTGATATTGAGATCAATAATAGGAACCACACGGTAAGTGTCTTATTGACATGGTACTCGTGATTACAATATGTCAACAACTTTTTGCTGATTTACAATAATTTTCAGTAGGATTCCACATTCAATAAAGGTCAAAACTACTTCAAAATTACAAGGTTTTCTCTTTTACTTAAAAAATGAACATATCTTCTAAAGTCGTTCAACTTCCTTAAACGAACTTTCTGTTCTACCTACCTACGCCGATCTTGTTGTAAAGTTCTGGCATGTACAATTCGGTCTTTTCCCTGCAGAACATGTGGTACTCCGTTTGCTCTACGATGGGCGTGACGCAGTTGAACTGTCTGCAATTTGTATAGGCTTCCATGATTTCCACTGGCGACCATCTGGCTGTTCCCCAGTACATAACCCAACCCTGGCATATGACGTAGTGCATGGCCCTGACGACCTCTGCGAAACGGAAAAAATCTGGTTTTGATTTTCAGTGAAAACATGTCTTATTCGTGTTTTTAACAGCTAGAATGTATTTTAAGATCTGTCTTTTCAAGTGGTCTCCTTTAAAATGACGCTATTGTGACTGACTGAACTGTATCAATCTTAGAAAAGAAGGAAAATTAGGAGATATTATCTTTGAAATTTTAAAACAGTCTAATTGTTCTATTGTACCTTGATATTTTTAATTTACTATCCGTTAAAATCGTTTCACACCTTCGCCTTATATTATAGTGAAAGACGTTTCCGAACGTACTTTATATTTTGATTCAAGACTTTGCTACTTTGGGATAAGGTTCTAATTGGATAGATTTCGTCTAACAAAAAGCCAGATGGCTTAAAAAAACCTGGACCTGTTTTATTAATTATATAAGACATATACATTGAGTTTCATGTCACTGATCTATATTCAAGCTTTGACCTAACGAATGTGTTGAATAATAGCTCAATGTCTAGAGGTTTTGTCTGAAATTATACAGGTTGGTCCTAGATTATCCTCCTAGACTATCTTTAAGGGCAGATACTATATTGAAAAGTAGGATTACCTTTTTATTAGTTTTATATTTTGATACATTGAACGGAAATTGATTAATTGTTATCATTACTCCGATCAGTCAACAACATAATGTTATTTTGAAGGCAAATATCTAACGTTTATGTCACTGCCAATTATTTATAGATATTATAAAAGTACATAACATTGCACAACATCTGTATCTGGACAAGTCAGACTTGGAATCAGATATTTTACACATTGCAAACGAGTCGTAAGATAAGACATTAATATCACATAATCAAGTTATCTGCAACTGTAAAATTTATAAAAAAATTATTTTAATAAAAGTTGTCTGGAATCATGTGGACCTTTAGCTTTACAGGGTGTTCCATTTCGCGTAGGCGCTATACAACTTTGTTATTTTAAACGGAACACCTTGTATATTATTGCATTTTTGAATTCCTTGGTCAATATTAGGTAGAGTTTATTAAATGTACATGGTGTTTAAACTTACCGTTTTCGAGATAATCAGTTGTTTTTGAAAAAAAAAACACAATTTCTGCTCTCTAAATGAGGCTAGGTAGTGCCTAAACCGCAAGAGTTAGAAACCTGCAGTTTTCACAGTTCGTTTGGCAAAACGTGTACGTTATTCAGACTCGGAAATACTGAGACCTACATTTAACATCTTACGAGTGAAAAACTTTTTTTTTCAAATGTAATGGCCCATATTAATAGTCATGGGTGAATGCAAAATTGAATGCCCTTTTGACTGATATAAGGTTGTCCGTACTAACAGTTTTCCAGAAAAATTAGGTTCTTTTCTAAAGTCTGAAAAAGTAGCTATGTAACAGCGTCAAGAAGGCCAGGCAATTGTAATAGTACAACGTCGATACATAGGTTTTTGCATAAGCACCACACAACACAGCACATCCTTATCGCATCCAATTACACCAAGAGTTACTAAAAGTAGACTCTCAGCGGAGACTGGAGTTTTGTCAGTGGACACTTGAGATGTTAAATCAAGAAGATGATTTTTTTAATCGGGTCATATTCTCCGATGAGGCTACTTTGCATAAAAATAGTTTCGTTGTCATAATTGCCATTATTATGACACAGTAAATCCTCACCCATTCCGGACATCTCATAACCAGCGATGGTCTTTGAACGTGTGGGGAGCAATTTTGGGAACCCATGTCATTGGACCATTATTTTTTGATCAGCATCTAACTGGAGCAATTTATTTAAACTTTTTAACAAACACTCTAGAAGATTTGTTAGACGACATTCCTTTAGCTACACTTCGAAGAATGTGGATGCAACATGATGGTGCTCCACCTCACAATACCGCTGCGATTCGTCGGTTTTTATACGAAACTTTTCCCAACAGATGGATTGGGCACGGGGGACCAGTGAATTGGCATTGAAGGTGTCCAGATATGACAAGTTGCGACTTCTTTTTATGGGGGATTTATAAAAACTTCGAGGGATTGATGTAAATCAGCATTCTAAGTATTCTTCTCCTTGCTGTGTTCCGAGTTTCAGTTTGTTTCGTTTTGCATTTTGTTTTGGTTGTTGTTAGTGGTTTACTTTTGTTTGTCAAGCCAATTTTTAAATATGCCAGTAAATATTGACACTGTCAGTCCCAGACCTGATGAAATGTGAAAGAAAAATGGTTTTGCAAGGCCTTCTTTACGCTGTTACATAGCTACTTTTTCGGATGAAATGGCCAAAATTTGTTAGGATCAGTTTTTAATAGATTTTTGGTGTTACTGATAAAATTTCGATGAGATTCTTTAATATTTGTTTTCGTTTTATTTGCTTAATATTCTTAGAGATTTCGTATCAGAGGGCATAATGGAAGTAAAAATATTTTTTTCAGGTTATAAGATTTTTTAAAGTATTATCATATTTTTTACGTTCCTTTTGTGAGACTTTTTGATTTAAATACATGGGCACACAAGAAAAGCCTGTTTCCATGAGTGGGCACTAAAAGTCGTTACAACTTTCCAGAAAAGTTTAATGGAAAGGTATTTAATTTTGAACTTCGTATTTCAAGGATTTGGAAACGATTGAAACGGCTCTGCGTTATTATAATAGAAAAGAAGCTTTACATATTTGCGCTAACGTATTTCAAAACTTGCCAACAAAAAAATTCTTATTGAAGGGTATTGCTATAAATAAAAAATTGTTGAATCAATATTGTGACAATTCATTTGTTCAATTAACAAACCAGCAAACAAGTTAGATCTACATACAATTGGTATATTATTCACATCACAAGAATCAATATAACAGAAGGTGTCATACGATTCAAATAGTAGCAGCAAATTAAATAAGGCACATTGTATATTTGCACGACATGGAAGCTTTGTTGAATATATTGTAGTTTCCAGCAGCACACACGCGTTTCTTTAATTTATGGAGTTTGAGTCTCCTATTAAAGCCCCAGGTGATTAAGCACCTGTTTTTGATTAAAACTTTAACCGGATTGGATTGGAACATCGATAGAGTTCGTTAAAAAAAACTGCTTTAAATAGCAGGACATTAATATTTATCTCGGCTGAGCTAGGAATCGAATACAAATGAACGTGAGGCATACGCAAAATATTTATGTATTCTCTGATGGTTTTCCTAATTCACTGCGAACATTGATCGAATGATTTTTTATTTGAGAACAATCCTTTTTTAAAAGGCTGCAATGTTTGAAGTTTTTATTAAACGTTCAAGAAAACAGTGTAACATACTTTTTCGATACCTATTCAAGCAGAATTTTGGAAAAGTTCAAAAGTGGTAAGATGATTAAAAATATCCCTTACTTTCGGCAAAACTACACCTTTCAAACCATATTTAAATTCTCGGCAAGATCGAATTTTACATAAGAATGAACAGGACTGAAAAATTTCATTGAATATACGTAACACAGCTTTTGCGGGTATTTTACCTTAATAGTTTATTAAATATGTTTTTATGTCATGTCTAAAAGTTATAGTAATAATTTTATAGACAGTCTTGCTGACGCTAATACGGGTGAATTTTTATAGAACATGTAGAGATCTAATTATAATTATACATACTATATTTGAGAAATATTTACTTTTTAATATACCATGTGTCAACATACTTTACCTACAATGTGTATAAAATTTTTTTAAAATAGCACTGATGTTTCATATCAAGGTATGAATCATACCTTTTAATTATTTCGTAAGTTTGGAAATATTAAGAGTATATTATGATGTACACACAACTCTTCAGAAGAAGTATTTAAAACGCATTCCAAGTAAGGTATGAAAAGGCAGTTTTGTTTGGTATTCGACCTATCAGGAGTTAAGAATTATTGAAAGATTGGTGAACAAAACTTAAAAATATAATATTGCACTGTTTTGAATTAATTATTTTCTTGTTCACTCTGTAGAAGAATGCTTTTAAAATGTACGGCATTGGTATCATAGTACTCGTATATTCTACATCAGTGAGAAGAATAATTTCTACTGTACACGTGCTATAATAATAATTGAATACACGTTCTTCCCCATCTGAAACTCATCGGTCATTCTCAAAAGACGTTTCCATCTGTCGCTATGTTCTCTAGTGGCATCAAACAGATGGAAGTTTCATTTACAAGGAGTTTTCCCAACAATTTGAACGTACTACCACATACAAAAAAATATTTAATTTGCAAAATGTGAACACACTACCATCTTTCTATAGTCATTATTTTTACGTAATGTTAGAACTTAGAACAACAAAAATACAAGACATGTGTTGGAAAGATTACGTTATTTAACAATTTCACCATGTTAGATATGTGTTTTTATATAAATAATATTTAGACATTATTTTTAATTTTCATTTTAGTTAGTTACACTTCCACAAAAAAAGTGTATTTTGAGCCGATGAATTTGAATTGCCCCAGCAAATCGCCAGAATTTTCTATCAAAAATTGCTTAAAAAAATAACACAAAATCAGCACTTAAAAACCTGGTATCGGCTAAAACTCTAGTGCTCAGATCTTTATATTCCGATGTATCTCGACCCGCTGAACACGAATACGAAGTCAGATTTGGTTCGTAAGGTCACAAATCCTACCTAACCTTTAAAAAATCTTAAAAATCCACAAAATTAATAAATTAGCTTTTTTAGTTTTTTTTTATAAAAAAGGGGGTGACTTCTGTCCAGTTGTACACCACTGGTTGAATCTTTAGCACTCACATTTTAGGGAATTCAAGGCCTACTATCATAGATCATCTGTACCAAATTTTATTTAGGTCGGTTAATAGATTCCCGAGATATAAACAGAAAATCATTTTTTTTTAACAACTTCAACACCCTGTATCTCTAAAACGGGGCCGTTCCAGACCTATGTTTATAAGGCAAATGCCTATTATTTTAAAGAGATCTATCTGCCCCCGTAGTTTCCTGCATAAAATTCGGACCACCCTGTATAGTCGACAGTGTGAATTTTTAATACATTTTTTTTATGTGGAAACTTCTTTCTTACTTTGAGACGTTCCTATCGTATCGCTAGGCAAAATTCGTTCTATGAAATTCGAGACAGCACGTATTGTGTCTCCCGAATATTTCCCAGCTTTTCCCGTGAAACACATTAACCGTTGACAGAAAATGAGACAACCTTTCCCATGCGACGTCGAAACGCCGTGGAAATATACGTTTAAGTCTGTTTGAGAGTTCCACCTGCCCGGCGAGATCAAAAAGAGTAACGTCGGCGAAATCCGTATAAAAATATAGGAAAATGCGCTCTTACCTTCCATGGGACACATAGGATCGGCTTTGTGTACGATGACGACGTCGATGTAGGACAGCTGCAGGCGCACCAGGCTGGCTTTCACGCTTTCTATTATGTGTTTGCGAGATAAACCTCTCTCCTCGGATCTGTAACAAAATAATAAAAAGCCGATAAGGGCCTTGCTGCCTCGTAAATATTTTAGATCTGTCGAATCTCGATAAATAAGGGCTTATACGGGATAAAATAAGTGCCTCCTAATATTAATACCAGTAGCTGTACCGGGTGTGAAGATAAATTAGCACGAACTTTTGTCTTAAACGATTTAGTTTTCGAAGGAGGATATCATTAAATATGTTAATATCTAAACGAAAAAAATTCGGAGAATTTCGTCATATTTTTTATATATATTTTTGAAGCCATAAGAGATATAGGTAGATACACACATAAAAACATATCTTTAATAATAAACTGCAAATTTCTTTAAAAGCAATTGTTTCTTATGAAGAAATATTTATTTAATTTGATCATATATCTTTATTTCAGTATTACTCTTGTATTTGGAACAATTCTATTTTATGTTTAGAAAATGTATTAGAATCAAAGATACATCCTAAATTTAAACATATAATATAATGTATTAAAACATAGTAAATTATAATGTAAAACAAATCAATTTCTTTAAAACAATCATGTTTTAAGGTTGCATCTACATTTTGGTTATTTTAATTTAAATGAACTTATTTAAAACAAATAAATCATAAGTCCAAATTAAAACACTTATTTTATCAAAGGAATAATAGTATTTATTGACATAAAACTATCATATCGTTAAATTTTCAGATAAACTGCATTTAAAGATGTGGTATAGTTGATTTTAGTATATTGTTTTAATTCAAAACTATCATATTTTTAAAACTACGGCGAAAAGCGTGGATTAACTTTCAGCGACAGCCAAAGGCATTTAGACTTTTAACTTCTACCACATGCAGTTACTCGTCTCGTATGTGTTTTATAACTTGCAGTGTAGTGTGAGTGTGTATGGTGTATAGTCTGTGGTGTACTGTACTGTGTAATACATCGTAGGAGTGTGTAATGTAGTCTTAGACAAGAACAAGACTACTTAGAACATTTAACTGCTTCTGATTATGGTGTTAAGGAAAATTGCATTTTCATTGAACTGGATGACTTTCACATATATAAAAATATTAGTTGTGATTTAATGCATAACCTTTTCGAAGGAATCCATCGTTATGAAATGGCGAAAATTATTAACAATTTATTAACTAATAACTATTTTACATTAAGCTACATTACTAAATGCTCGAATTAAGTATAACTCTTATATGTATAAATAAAAACATTCCTCCAAACATTAAGTATGCATGAACAAATTAGAAACGGTTATATTACTGTCATCTTCATGCTTTCCTTAGTTTTAAATTTTCATTTAATTATTAGAGATTTAGTTCCAGAAAATGATAAAACATGGATACTATACTTAATTTTATTAGAAATAACCGAAATGTTATTTTTGTCTATCTTTAATGATGAATCCATTGATTTTTTAAAATGTCTTATTGAAGACCATCACCTAATGTGTTTAAAACTATTTAAAGAAAATTTAAAGCCTAAATTTAATTTTTTGCTTCACTACCCAAATATAATAAAGAAAATTGGACCTGTAATACATGTTAGCTCCATTAGATACGAAGTAAAACATAAAGATTTAAAATATTTAGCTACCCTTATTACATGTAGAAAAAATGTACATTTTTCACTTTGTATGCGGACGCAGCTTAAATTATCGTATAGAATTTTATCACAAAAGGACTAATAGACACGTTTGAACATGGACCAATTCAAAATTTAATAAAAGGAGACGTTATCCTTCCATCTAATTCAGAAATTTCATCTTCAAGTTTTTGCGTGCCATGGTTAAAAATTAATGGTATTTTTTACAAAATCAAGTCTTGTGTTTTATTAGGTATCCTAATCCTTCTTTCGGTATAATAGAAAACATCATTATTAATGAAGACAACAATACAATAATTTGTTTTCATTTCTATTTATTAATTACCTTAAATTATGATTTGCATCATAGTGCTTATTCTGTGAAGATCTCTGAAAATTTTGTAACGGTAGACATTAAAACTTTAGGAACAGTTAAACCTACCGTATTTCACACTGTCTCGGAAAAATTATTTATATTTTTGTGAATGTTATTTTATACATAAACAGCTAAGGAACATTAATTCTTAAAATTATTTCTTATATTTGTAATGTTTTGTGTATACGTTTATTTAAGAAAAAATACATTCCATTCAAACATACTCATACTTTTATTTTAACCTTACCCTATCTTTCCTAAAAAAGTTCCAAATTTTTATTCCAAAGAACTATTTTATTTAATTCAGGAAAGTTATAGTCTCATATCAAATAAAACCATTTATTTATATTTAAAAAACAATAATTTTCTTTCAAACATATATTTTGTTTTGTTAGAACAAATGTAATGTTATATTAATTTTATAGTATATTTAAAATAAAATTACAAATGTTTTCTCTAAACCAATGAAATATTTGAGTCAATAATATGTACTATATTATTTCAATACGTAAATATTTTTCATGTGAAGCGTTTATTACTTAATTGAAATAAATATTTTAAAGAAATAATATTCTTTGTTCAAATACATGTTTGCATTGCGGATATGGGAAGATGTTATTTGTTTAGTTTAAATTTTACTGCATTGAATTAAACAATTATTTTTATGTGTGTAGATAGAAAAAATTTCTTCGGTTCGTCAGAACAATTGCGAACAATCCTATTTGTTTCGGCATTTCGAATTCGCAGGAATGAATTTACACACAGTACGACCTTCAATAGGTTTAACTGATTTCTGACGAATCCAATTCAGACGAAAACGCATCCAAAGGATGACCGTCCTAAGGGGAACCCAAATCTCCCTCACTGTGTCCCAGCACTGAAAGGGTTCTGGTTATGTATAGTTTTTAAAGAATATGCCATGTTACAAAATCTGATATCCCCCAAATATTCTGTAGTATGTCCCAAGAACATATGATTTGGATTATACGCTATCTAATGAACAGTCGGATGATGCCAGTTTGTCCCAGAAACATATTGTTTGGACTATATGCTGTCTAATGATGCAGGCTAAGGATGCTTGAATAGTATGGGAGGCACAGGATATTTTTCTGAGGTATGTCTTATTGTTACAAATTAGGAAATCCCCCAATGTATGTCCTAGGGACACATGGTTCACGTTATCAACTATCAGTAGTACCCTTTGAGAATATCTAATCATGAGAAATATCCTCTAGATGGAAGTAGGTTCCGATAATAAAATGGGCGATTCCTTAGATAATTCTAAAAAATTTTGTGGTTTTGTGGTCTAGTTTCCGACTTGCAGGGTATTCAATTTTAGAAAAAAGTTTTCTGCCTATATAACAGGAACTCGAAGAAATAATTTACTGTAATTCTGTACACTATTGTAGTTCTTAGAAAGCTTCATCTCTGACCTAACAAATTATTTTTTATGTTGCCAACATACTTATAGAGAAAAATTTGCACTAATATTCTTTAAAATTTGGAGAGAAATAGTTAACTTTTATTATTATTATTATTATTAATTCATCATTTTTAGGAAAAGGCCTTATCCACGATATTTTGGAGAATGCCATATTTCTGANTAATATTAATAATAATAAATTATTTCCTGTAATTGTATACAAAATTTTCTACTTAATTATAAACATCAGTTGTTATTGATCATTTGGATGGGTATTATGGGAGATTGCGTTATTTGGTCATTTTATCTTCTGTTAAGATTATCACATACCCAATATTTTATTGAAAATCAACTGCCTCCTTGAGGTTGTACTATTTAACGTGCTATACCTTTTACAGTTTATACATGACAGAGAACTACTATTTTGGTATAATAATTTGGGAATATCCAAATAGATGGATAGGTACAAGCGCAGAAAATATCAATCTACCATAGCCCTCTAGATCATCGGACTTGAATCACTGAATCCTCTCTCCTTTGGAGACATTCTTCTTTTGTCTTCTTTGAGAAATTCCTCTACAGCTGAGACACACCATAGGTGTTGGTGTTGCATAATGGTGCACCAACCCATTTTAATATTAATGTACCTCATCACTTAGACACATTATCGAATTATAGTCGGCTGTGAGACAATAAGAAATATACCAGGAATATTTGCGCGAATACGACAATCAATGAGGCGAAGAGTTGAATCTTGTGGCACGTCTGAGGGAGGTCATTTTGAACATTTGTTGTAGCTTTGCGCCTTTTCAAAATTTTATTAGTGTTATTTTCTGTTATTGTTCTGGTTTAATGTTATTGTAGTAGATAGTTCTTGATAATGTATTAAAGAAATAAAAAATACGCGGTAACATGTTTTATTTTTTTGCATCAAAACGGCGCCCAATACGAAGAAAGGGCAAGAGAGATTTTTTGTCACAAACTGAACGAGGAATTCAAAAATTATTTTTAATTTTTAATATCTCAGTTTTTTTCTATAAAAAATTGAGATTATTACCCGTACGCACGCCAATGATGAACATAAAATTCTTAATTGCGTGTCAAAAAATGCGCAATAACTACCTCTTAAAACCCACCAAAATTTCATTTGCATATCTCGACCGGTTTCAGAGCAATAAATTAAATCGTCAGTTTTTAAGAAAAACTTTGACACCCCATATCTCGGAAAACGAATCATTTGCGGACATACGTTTATAAGCAAACTGCCATTATTTTCTCATGTAGAATCACCCCCTGAAATTAGTCGCACTTATTTACCTATATACCCTATATACCACCACTCCCTACGATGATATAAAAAAGTTATTTGATAGATAAAAAATTCATCCTACATCCTAGGAAGTTTTATAGTGTATCAAGTTCCAATAAATTATCTTTTCCGGGAAAATTTCAGATCTTGGAGAAAATGTTGAAATTTTTTTTTTTTTTTAATGAATTGAGGATTTACTTTGTTTATTGTGGGAATGTACTTAAGGATTGCCCTGTATACCCAGAGATATTTGTGTAAAAATTATATTTTTCAAAAAGTTCAACTTCAACACACAAAATCTTTAGAACATAGGTACGTTTCTCTGAACGTTTCTTCTTAAAATGGTCCGAGGAATTATCTCCAGAAACATGTTTACCTCCTTACACCTTGTATAATAGTTAGTATTTGTATTATAAAGTTCGTAGAGAAATTAGAGAAGAATGTGGATTAGTGCGGATGTAATCATAGTCATCCTTTATATCTACTCTATTATTTCAACAGTTTTGGCAATTTTTACTTTTTATGATTCTGCAACATTCTGATAAACCAACCCTCAGTCTCACATTTCTAAAATAGAATGGGGCGGTTTTTAAGGATAAGGTCCTAAGTATATCAACCGAGGAATCGTAAGAGGATATTGTACCCCACGAAGCTAGATAATACAGGAATAAATACAGCTAAAATGAACAGTTTTATAGTCATTCTAAGTTATGACGGTAATTAATACGAGTAAACAAAAATTATAAGTTATTTTATAGAGTTTAAATAACGACTATATATTTTTGATTTCTGATTTGCCACAACAAAAATTTTGAAATTAAATTACCATATCAATTCTGGAGGATCAAAATATGTATACCGATTTCATAAAACTTTTTGTTTGTCATAGAATAGAATAGAAATTACTTTTTACCACAACCATTAGCGAATGTAATAATTTCGAAATCATTTTTAATAATTCTCACTCTTGAGTTAGAATATTATTTATTCTGAAACACTTGCTTCTTATGTGTATTGTTACAGAATGTACATATTATATAACATATGGACTTTATATACCTAGTAGGCGATTATAACAGAAACAAGTTCTATTAAGCCAAAGTGAGACATTTACTTTGTAATTTTAACATAAACAAGGCACACTCCAAGAGTTGTGCTTTGCTATGGAGACTTCCTTTGATGATTTAGTGCACAACTAAAATGTGGCACGCGGAAACTTTTGCTCTTGACATCTTGCGGTTGGTATATGGGTTATCGAAGAATAAGCAGAGAACTTGTTATAACTTTGCACTTGCTATATCTACTATCATTGAGAGGGTAATATTTGGAATAACATATTTTAATATTTTTAGTATAACAATCTTGATTGTTGTGAAGTTCTGCTATATTTTCCTTCACATAAGATTCTTGGATGTTTAATTTATCTACAGGGTACATAATGGTACGGAGCGGCTGTATATAGGAAACTAGACGTGCTACGATTATGGGGTAAAAAATAAATTAAGAAATACGGCCAAAAGAAATTGATTTAAAATATTTTCAAGTTTGTAATTTAGCGCAAGGGCATAGTGTTACAGAAAATTGTCGTTTTTTCGCTTATATAACCTAAGTTGAAGATACACTTTTTAGACACACTGTTTCGTTTGGACTTTTTTTTTGTTATTACCATAGCAAGACCAGTATAAAGAAAGCCATCCTGAAATTGTTAAATTGTCGTAACTTATAAATGCCTTAATCGTTTTCAAGAAACGACGCTTCATCTTATCTTATAAATAAAATTTATTTTTATGATATGGGAATAAAAATATTATTTTCCTGCGCAACTGTAGACAACGCAAAACAGAAAAATTTTGTAATTGTCTCCGTTTACTAAAAAAAATTAAATTCAACAATAAGGTTTTTTTTCGCGGCTTGATAGACCACTTAATATACAAACTGGAGGTCGATATCTTTTTTCGTTTTCAAGTTATTGCTAAAATAGTGAAGTTGTGCTAGAATATCCTCGTTTAATTAGTTCTCTAATTAACATTGAAATAGTCGAAGCCAAATTTCAATTATTATAAAACTATACTAAACTTGTATTTAAAAAATTTTGGTAAAAAAAACTTTAGAGTATAATAAAATAACACACCAAATTTCTTTAAAATCGGTTTGATAGTTTTCGCAAAATTTTAAAAAAAATTTTGAAAAAAATTTTCGAATTTTCAAAATGTTGCACAGCCTCAAATAAAGCATCTAGATATTTGAAAATTTGTTCACATAGAAAAGACCGCTCTACTCAAATGGTTTTTGAAAAATTGTAATTTTTAAAATTAACACTTCTTTTTATTTTTAAACAATTAGATTACATTTATCAATTTAAAATTTAGTTTTATTTTTAAATTATAATTTTAAAGTACTCGGAAATTCCATTTATTGGTTCTCGAGATATAAGCGGTCAAAGTTTATCCGCATTTGCCCTGAATTTATAAACAATTCAACAATAATTTTTGATCCAGTGGCTTCGTTTTTCCGAGTTTTAAGCTATAGGCAATAATAAATCATCGGAAAAGCTGCCGCTCGCTCGCGCGAAAAGTAACTCAAAACCCGAAAAATGGGGGAGGGGGCGTTCGCTCCCAGACTGAATTCCAAGGTTCAAAATACGAAAAAAATTGCATTATTTCGGCTTCTAATGAACCAATTTCGATCTTTTTTTCAATCCGATATCTCGCGAGCCAAGAAATTCGAATATCGTAATGCCAACTGTCTAATTTGCACATATTTTGTTATAAACAAAGTTTATTATTTATACATTAAATATACTGTATATTTTACCCTATGCTATTACATTTTTTTTCAATGAAATGAATGAATTGTTTCAATTGTATTTCAACACTGAATATGAATATATTTAGTTATAATTTAAATTAAAAATATTTTTTTTTATTTGGAAATTATTATTTTTTGTTAAATATAGATAAAATTAAGCAAAAATAGTACTTTAAAATTACAATTTTTGAAAAAAACTAAATTGCAAATTGATAAATGTAATCTAATTGTTTAAAAATAAAAAATTGTGGCCGGCTTAATCAACCGATTTCAATTTATCAAAAACCGTTTGAAAGGTTGAGCGGTCTTTTCTGCGTGAAAAAATTTTCAAGTATCTAGATGCTGTATTTGAGACTGCAATATTTTTAAATTGGAAAATTTTTTTTCAAAATTTTTTTCAAAAAATTATTTTGAAAACTATAGAACCGATTTTAATGAATTTCGGTGTGTTGTTTTATTATGCTCTAAATTTTTTTTTACCAAAATTAGAATGCCCTCAGAGCAATTAAAATATTTTAAAAAAATTATCGAAAAAACTTGGTTATTTTGCCTATTCTTCATCAATTATTGTTATTTTGCAACGTCGGTAATAAATTTAAACATTTTTTACTTCCAGTATATTGTGCACAATTCAATTCTAAAACTTTTTTTCCTCTTCAATATTCTTCCAAAATGCATAGGTTCTAAGATATAAATAAAAATCTCAGATAAAATAGGTATTTTTTAAAATTTTTAAACATTTTTGCAATTCTGCAAATGTTCCGGACCTCGTCCAGATCTAGGGATCTACACTTTTATTATGTGAGCTGTACTGAAGGTAATCCAGAAAAAATTTGCTTGCCCCCCTCTCACATCCACCTCAAAACAGATCCGCCCTGGTCTAAAAAGAGAAATTGCTATACTTAAAAGTCCTTTTATATTATCCTTCCTCTCAAGGTAATTATGAAATACTGTTATGTATATTATCCTCTCAGGTAAGGTTAAACTCGTAGGCTTTTTGCCTTTTCACGACCCACATGTCACTCGCAAGGATAGCAAGTAGAAAATTTTGTGACCTTTGTACTTTGAGGGTGCGACAAATCTTCAAAAGGAATTTGTACCTGGACCCGGACCCAGGAGAGTTACAGCAGGACATATTAAACAGAGTATAAGGCCGGATAAATAACAAATTATGTGTTACATACAATATATTACGTTGGACAAAGACGTGTTACCTACTTTGTAAAAAATATGCCTGTATATATATATATACCTCGTGTTCTAGAATCAATATATGTATGTTTATAAAATCACTTTTTTGTTACAGTTTCAGAAACATGGGTCTTACTTGGTGAACTTTCTGTGTCACATTCAATCAAGTAAAAAGTAATATTTCCCTTAATAGAAAAATGAGATGAAACAATGTATGTGCACGTTTTTGAAGTATTAGTCAGTGTCGACTGGTTATGTTTAGGGCTCCTGGCTGAATTCCACGAAAGATTTAAGAGACCCTGAAGTACTGCATTTTGCAGACGTAAACTTAATTTAAAAATGTAATTTTAAGTTGGTGAACATGTACAAGGTGGTCGATGATTTTATCTTTAGAACACCATGCCAATTAAGAAACACATAAAACCAATCCTTTTTCAACATTTAATATGTTCTTCTTAACAAATTTATTACTATTTATTTTAAATGTAACAAATTAATTGTAACTTTGGAAATGGAAAGAGCAGAAAATTCTACATCCAAATATGGTATTGACCGTGAAACTTTGAAATTACATCGATTTTTCGCATTTTGCTTCGCTCATAGGTTCACCTTAGCAGACAACCGCAAATTATTTCACTAAATGTAATCACGAATCACGAATCCATTTAGTATAAGTAAACAGTGGAACATACCTGGTGCTCCAGTAGATTTTGGTGGTAACGATGTAGCTGGTTCTCTTCCACCCCCTCCTCACCAGAATCCTTCCTAGCTCGACTTCCGCTCTAGTTCCTGCGAACAAAATACGGCTTTTACATTGCCAGTCGTGTTCTCTGATCGATGGAACAGGACATTTTCATTAATTACTCAGGTGTTTTGGTGGATTGATGAAAATAAAGTCTCACTAATTGGAATCGTGTGGAAACATAGGATTTCGTTACAAATAGGACGATTTAAGTTTTTCTTGAACGTGTTGAGAATGTATATTTAAATTTTTCAAACAAGGTTTGTTTCTGGATATGTTTTAAGTGTAAATTAAGGAGAAATTAAACTGATTTTCGTTTGAAACTTTATATGGTCTTAGTCATGATTCCACTCTCAAAATGGATGGGTCTCTACAATATGGAAAAGAAAGATAAGCAGGACTAGAGAAATGCTTCTTTCTTCAATCGATTAAATGAAAACATTTCTCTTTGGATTTATGCTCAAACAAACAATTCAATAACAGGCTATTCTAAAAAATTATGGTATGTTAAAAATTTTTAAAGAATAAGTAAAATATCTATGTCTTGCAAATCTCTGGACTTCAAACAAGCAATAAATGTATTTAATAATATCTACAGTCACACATGCAGCTTTGCTATCTGTATTATTAAGAAAATCATGCACAAATGGTAGCAAAACAGTCTAGTCTGAGATAAGCTACGAAAATGATTCATTCCATCATATATTCAAAATTTGCAATGTATATTTAACATTATTCTATATTTTTAATGTAGCGGTTATTAATAAATCTTCCATTGGTGTTTTTATGCGGATTTTACCGGAAAAATTGCTTTTTACCCACCTGAATGTGCTTCAGACAAGTCAAACACGTTGATCCCACTTTCCACAGCCAAAACTATTATCTGCTCAGCCTGTTCTTCGGTTACGTTTGGACTGAATGTGGGCCAAGTTCCTGTCGAAAGAAATTTCCAGTACAAATTAATTGTTCAAAAGTCCAGTCCAGTTAACATTTTAAAATAAATAAGCAAATCAATAAATTTATCGAATTCCGAAAGATAAATTTTAGATGGTAGTGGTGGAACTGATTACAATGGAACACTCTACAGGGCTGGAAAATCCACATGGTCCATCTGCTTTTACATGAGAGCGACAAAGCAAAGTAAAAAGAATCCGTGCGATAGACAAGGATGGCTATAGTGAAGACGTTTCATAATCTGAATAGTCACCGCCCGTTTCGGGTTAGAAGTGGGACTGACTATTCAGATTATGAAACGTCTTCAATGTAACCATCTTTGTCGGGCTGATCTCTATGACTTACTTTATCGCTCTCACGTGACGGCCGATGTACCATAGGGACTTTCCGAACCTGTATATCGATACGCAGAATTTGAAAAAAGTAAATAAATTTTTAAACTAGCTTTTCCAAATAAAACGGACATTGACCAGTTGCAATTTCAAGACTTTCAGAAAAGGCTTATTTCAGATGTTATGGTACCTAGTTTAAAGTGGTACCTATGCAAGAATAAACAAGACCTAAATATAGTTATTCCGTTGCCTTTACTAAATGCAGTTTCATGATTTCATTTCCGGATATTGACGAGAATTGTCACTTTATATTCAGTCAGGTCATATCAGGTAGGTACTTAAAAGAAGACGTCCAAAAAATCATACTACACAAGGACATTGTTTGATGAAGGTAAGCCAAATTAATGAGGTCGACGGGAATATTTAATAATGCATCTAGAGCAAAACCAGAAATTTTATGACCTCGTCAACTTCGTCCATAAAAGAACTTTTTCTATCGGATATATAATTAAATATTTTGTCCAATTCATTGTAATTTACTTGGAATTGACAGCACTGAACTTTCTCCATGAGACAAATCTTTTAAATAAACGCTTTTATCGGCACCAAATTTCGGCTTGGTCAAGGTCAACTGTTCCTAAAATAGCCCTGCGTTATTCTTATTCAGTTTGCAAATGTGAATAGAAAATCCTGCCATTTTAAATGGACTTTAAATGAGGTCTTACAATCTGTTTTTTTTAAATTTTTGTCTTCTGTTACAGGATTAAGTAGTTTTCAGTTGCCTTTATCATAATATGAAAATGTATAAGGAATTTTCAGTAAAATAATATATATTTTTGAAAGAACATTTTAAAATACATAAAATCTGTACCATTTATAAGAAAAGTGGAAATAAATTTTTTTGGAAACGATGTTGATTGTTGATATCTGGTGGTTGATATCGAACAATACGTTTTTTGTGCATCTGAAAATGCTCCTTTAAAAAACAATAAACAAAGATGTCCGTGACAATTTTTTAAGAAAAAAAAAACCCATGTATGATCCCTTATATTTCCACCAATGTGAATGAGGAGACATTATTCCTCCAAGAGATTATTTATTATTATCGACAATTTACAGACTTACACTGAATTTTGATAAGACTTTTTTGGTTATTTTGAAAAATGTGTTGTTTTGCAATACACCTATATCAACATGCAACTTTTTTTCTAAGTATTTTATGACCTTTGCTCGTAGGAATCTTTTTACTTAAAATGCACTTTATATCTCATGTTTCAGTTTGTCAGCATGTCTTAAAAACATTTTGTAAATTTTATCAGAAAGTGTATAATACTAGAGGAAGTCAGTAAAACAATCTCATCCCATGACTAAAACAGCAGGCCTAGAAAATGTCTCTCTTAACAAAATCACTGCTTTTAGAAGCAAATTTGTGCCTCCTTTTGCTTAATTAAATGAAAGAAGTGAAAATTCCTGTATTATGAAAACGGAACTTTATTTTCAAACGGAATTTCCATTTTTTTATTAAATATTAACCAAAGTCTTCTAAATTATATTCTTCAAAGCTTATATTATTGATATTGTGAACTTGATTGGTGGAGTCCAAAATTGTTAACGACCAATACAAGCGTTTATCAATATCGTGTAAAAAAAATCTTGCTGGTATTGAATGTCCAAAAAATCTAACTACTTTTTTGGTGTTCATAATCATAACACAGCCCCACAAAAAAAGGATCGGATCTGGTATTCAGACCCATGGATTTCCATGTATTTTTTTTCCGCTGAATCCGAATCTGCCTTCAGATTTGGCCCAACGGGTCTGAGTTTTCGGGAAAATTCAAAAAACAGGTCAAAATCCACAAATTTACGATCAACGTAAGTTATAAAAAATCAAATTATTCTACCAGCTCACTAGACGTATGATTTTTCACTCGTTTAATACCAATTTATCATCATAGAGTCAGACAAGCTGGTCCAATTTTATTCAAAAACGGAAAATGGATCAAAATGCTTAAAAACGTCATTTTCATGGCATAATTCGTGTTGCAGAGTTCTAGATCCATCTTTTTATCCACCACCCATTTATGAATTCTTACTATTTTTTGTACTGAAAAGATGAAAGATGAGATAACAGCCTAGAAGATTTCTTCGTATTCGTATACCTATACAGTGTAGGAAAGTACCGATGGTCTATCAGAAGTTACGTGAGAGCGATAAAGTAAGCCATAGAAATCCATGCGATAGAGTTACGTGAGAGCGATAAAGTAAGCCATAGAAATCCATGTGATAGACAAGGATGGCTATAATGAAGGCGTCTAATAGTCAATTTAGCCCATTTCGCCTTTCCACAAATAAGATCCACTTCTTATTCTAAACTCAACAATCCATCATTAATGGATTGTTGAGTTTTCTGAAATCCCGATAGGAATTCAATGGATTTTAATTAATTACTATTTGTTAATTAGTTTTTCACGTAATTACGGGAATCGTGTATCCAAAGCATCTTACTGATATGAAATGAGGTGACTAATTCTTTTGGCAAAATAACTGGGATCGTACATTTACGACCTTCTTGGATTTCCTAACAATATTTTAATGACTTTCCTCGTTTTTTAAAACAGTTTGTATAATTTCCTTGTCACCTTTAAATTCTTAAAATAATTGAATACCATTTAGATAATATCAAAAACGTAGTAAGGAACACTTTTAAGAGTTTAAGTACAAGCAGTAATTTTTATAAGGAATGACATTTCCTCATAATTTTACAAATAAACAAACATTCTTCTTTACAACACAATCGTGGGACGCATTGTATATTCAACGGTCTGAGTTCTATGTAGACAAGTTTTCATTAACATTTGTCCCATATTTTATTAATCTCTTTTTGTCGGCTAGAGGACTTAACCTTCATTTGCGGAGGTTTTTTGAAGAAGAGGGAGATGTGTCTCACGAGATGTCAAGAAGTCTAAACCAATGACGTGGCAACACCCAGCCTGAACATTAATTAAATGGAATCTTGTACAAGAGGTCTCGAATTAAGTCCCACTCACTCACCTAATCCTATGTTCGATACCCGAAGTCCACTCTTCCCCAAGTTTCTGTACCTCAGTCCCGGCGTGACGGAAGTTTGCCGAGCCAATTGAAGAGGTGCTGCGGGTACGGAATGAGATAGACCACTCAACAGCAGCTGCTCCTTAGTTATGCCCCCTTCGCCCGGACGTTCCGCGAGCGCGCTCAATGCGCTTCCGGCGCTGAACTCTTCCATACAGTCAAGGCTCGCTATCGGTGCTCGACACCTGAAAAGATAACAGTGGGAATAGACCTTTATGATAAAATTCACCCTTGATATCTTCAAACACAGAACGGTAAACGCGTTTTTATTAATTATGCATTATTCTAACCAAATATGAAGTCAATGAGATGTGTGGGACAGGCTGGATAAAAGCTTGGGGAATTTGGATTCGAAAGTTCGTTGAAAATTTCGATTTTCAGTCAGCTTGTCTGGTGCACTGCTTTTTCGGACTCTGCAGGTGACTACTAGTTCTGGATTCGAAACCTCGTTGATAATTTACAATAATTACGTATTTTTCTGAAATTCATCGTAGATACCATGTAGGAAAAAATTCTACAAAACAATTTCAAAAGGAATTTGCCCTTTAATGTTCCTTCTTTCAGTTTTTTATTATTAATACAAATATTTGGCAATAGTCACAACCATGGTGACATTAAGCTAATTAGTAATTGATATCAAAAAGTCATGATTTACATAATATACGTACAATACATATAAAGGATTACAATAACCCTGAAAATATTAATATTTTATTTTATAATTCTAAAAAAATAACCATTTTCTAGAGCTAATGTAGGTATTATTGATTATCAGATTCGGCTAATAGTATTAGTGAATGCATGAGAAATCTGATTTTGATAGGGTTAATCGTCTTTTTTTAACATGGTAATTAACGTGACCCTATTAAGTTTTTTATTTAACGTAGCCTTGTTTGGGCTAGAGAATTTAGTGAATTAGGCAAATTTAGCAGAAGCATATTAGCAGTTGTTAAATGTGAATATTTACCCCATGTTAAATTGTATGTTATATTAAACTAAATAACATTCGATCGGTGCAATACATAAAAAAATATGGGGGAAATGTTTAGGCGGAATTTTTTGCTAATTGATTGGTAAATAGATATACATATTTCAGTTATAATTTTAGTATAAAAGATACGAAAAGTAGGAATCAACTGAATTTTATAGATGATATGCGATAAAATAAGTGTCCGTTCAAGAAATGTATGAGCTCAACGTATTAATTTGGAAGAATATCAGAATTAAATCTTAAATTTCAGCATTTAAAAAATTGTATTGGTCTGTGCTATATATACAGGGTGATTCAGAACTTATCCAAAAAAAAAAAAAATTCTGGATGTACAGGGGACCCTCACAAATACAATTTTGTAAAGAAAAAATCAAAAAGGTCAGTTCGAAATTGATTTAAAAATACACTTCTGCACGGCACTGGAAACTGGTACACTGTAAAACCTGACCTCGTACAATGCGACCGGTATGGCGGCGTGATAAAAACGGACAAAAACTTTCGCAAGGAAAGAAATATGTAAATAAAATTTTATCGCACCTATTTTATATCGGCAAATTCAAATGCTTTTGCCTTTATTAATTATTAATAAAATTAATTTTTATTTTTAAATAATAAAATCATTTGACATACCCGATGCTGTTGTAATTGTTCAAAATTTTATCCACTCACGTGTAAACACATTTGGGTCCGTATTACTCACTTTCTACGAACTAACACAAATGATGTCTTGCTTCACCATAACACAAATACTTCACCATAATACAAATGTTGTCTTGCTTCACCATAAATTAAAACGATATCCATCAACTCTGAGTTGCTATACACGCAAGCCATTTTTGACACTAACTACTAAAAAACTGATGTAAATAACACATATAACAGGTAAAAACTACCGCAACGACGGATTTCAGTATTAGGAGTCACGCTCGTATTGCGAATGACGCTAGAGACTACAGTTGTCCAGCTATGTAGTGGTTTAATGTGCTATAACTTCAATAATTTTATTCTCAGAAACTATAAGGATTTTACAAATTTATTTTTTACAATATTGACTCCATTTTTCATGCCGCATCTATTCCCAAATTTTTTTGGATAAGTTGTAAATCACCCTGTATGTGTGGATATATCTATAGGTAAAAATATCTTAAATTACTAAATACTTCTCTTATAATATTAACATTATAAATATATTAATATTACTCCTTCCCGTTGGCAACATTTCATAGAAATTTGGATTGACTGAAACATATTCATTACATTCAAGATTCAGGCAAATTCCTGAACATATTTTCATTGACACTCGTGTGTTGATTATCTTGAATGAAAGGGTGTTGTAATTCTTCTACAGATAAAGTACGAATAATTTTTGCGAATTACAAAAGGTTAATTTTCTTCAGTTTGTTGTTCCTAAGATCCAAATCATATGAAAGGTTCTCAAATGCTCTATCATCGTTGTGGTCTATATCATTTCCTTCAACATTCAGTTTTTCAAATGGCAATCTATCATTTTTATTTCAGATAGTTTGTCGAAGAAACCTGGTTAGATATAATTTATATTGTTGTTTAAATCTGTAATGTTGTTATTATCATTTAGAAAAAAAACCTGTAGTTGATTGACTTTGGTGAAGTAAATCGATTTGGTTTCATTCAAAATAGAGCTGCCTTGCGCTTAAGTTGTCGAATGGCTTGTACAATAGAAAATTATTAAAAACTTTCAGTAGCAATAATTTTTCAACTAATTACTTTCTATGTTAGCACCATGTAAATTTGTTATTGATTCCAATAAATTTTTCACTATTTCATTTTGTTGCAACATAATCTAGATATCCTACAGCTTAGTCAGAGGAGAAATATTTGTTACTGTTGTTAAGTTGTTCCGGCGCAAAACTAGGGAAGATAGACTGGAATTAGTTCTATACCAAATCCCTTGACGTAAGGAAATACTCCTGCATTGATCATATGTAGCTTATTTTTCCTCAACGACAAAGTAATTAAATTTGTATTTAAAAAGGTACCTCGAAAAAGGTACTAGATTTTGTTTCCGTTTTGAGTAAAATACTCGTATTTGCAATAGTAGGTCGTTAAAAGCCGTTAATAACGCCTTGCCATTTGTTATTTGTCAGATTTATAGAATTCATATCTGTTCCAGCAAACACTCCTGCTTCTACAGGGTGACTCAATCATAATGTCATGCATATTTATACTAAAAAAAATAATTTCAAATAATTATTTAAATACCTTTTCGGACTGCTCCTGACCGCTGGCAAACGTTTATCGACAGTGAACCTACCGTATTTGGTCACTAACCTAGCCTTTACTGCGTTTTTAGTCTGTAGTGAACGACAAAATGTTAACATTCTCACTATGTTTTATAACTGAATAAGAGTTTTTAATATTAATTATTCAATTTGTAGTATGCAGTGACTTATTGATTTTCAGAGTAGTATGATGGTAGCTACCTATTTAAACGCTAGTACGGCTAAAATAACTTATTTGTCCATAGCCCTTAGGTAATAAAGTTGGGGTCCACTGCAGTTTGATTTTGAAACCAATTGCAAAATTCAAGACGACTGAGGAAATCAGCTGTTTCGCTTCAACGTTCGAACGCTTTGTAGTCCGCCAGCCGGCGCGTTCCCTGTTGCGAAGTAGGGCGTCGCGTTAAGGGGTAATTTACTTATTTTTAATAAGGCCCAGATTTTTTTTTTTTCGATTTTCTGTCTTGATTAGGCCTTCCGAATACGTGGTTAAAATTAATTATGATATTATGATTGAATCACCCTGTATATGAGCAATATTGCATTCTTCCACCACTAATTTTTAGCCCAATTAAAAAGTTTTTGTATAACACTGGCAGATTTTGGCCGATTATTTTTACATACTTAAAATCTATTTCAATTGACAGTAATTCATCGGTCTGTCAAAATTGGAAATTGTTCTTTTCGTAATTCCTGTATATTCGCCGTTCTCGACATTTGAGATGTAAGGCCTGAACATAATAACATTTTGGTGCAATGTTGGAATCGCTACACAAAGAATTGCACCACAAAACTGAAAATTACTTTCTGCAACTCCGAGACAAGTGTTCCTATCTGCGCAGTAGTACTGAAATTGTTTACCTGGGGCGCTTGAAAAGTTCCAAAGTGATTATCACTCGTTACACAATGCTGTAATTATTAATAATATATAAAGTAAAAACATAATGAGAATTATGTTTCTGACAGTACTGCATATCCATGAAATTTTAATTAAAAAAATAAATGTGAATTGTTAATGGTTGAAATAATGTATTTTTTGAGTCCCTTATAATGTTTTTTTTTTGAGTTGGAGAAACGGCTTTTATCTATTTTTATTAGACTTAACTATACGATCCATAACACAGATGTAAAAATACCACATCTCTTACAAGGGAAAAATACTTTTTCCGATTTTATTATGTTCGATACTTTTTCTTCTTTCCTTTCGTATCTAGAGACAAATGTCATACCTCAAGTTTAAATATATTATTTTTTCTTTTGTATGTTATAATATATAATAACTATTTTAAAACTGTATAATTCATTCTAATTATTTATACTCGTATATGAAGATTTTCACCATCACCAAATAATTAGAATGAATGGTGTGTTAGAATTTTATTTTTCAAAATCAAAACGAATATGTTGTTTTTTAAATACACTAATGCAAACAATAAAAGCGTCAAAAGAATTTCCGACATTTTCCCGTGATTTTTGACAGTCTGTATTTAGGTGAAAAATGGTCGTATCGGGAATTAAAAAAAAGCATTTTGAAGCTCTAATATTCTAGTTTTTAGGAGCTACGGTTATAAAGCAATTTTAAGAAATAGCGCGACAAAAAAATTTTGCAAATTTTTATTTCCGAGTCCACGACTTTGGAAATTTTTTTTTCAGTTGCCATTGCAGATAGCTTGTTTATTCAACTTTAATCTCCTTTTTTTATATTTCGATTCATTCGTTTTTTATCGAAATATTGGGCTTTTAATGAAAAAGGATCCTTTTGTCTTAAAACATCCATATCTCGGCGACAAATAGTCGTACAGAGAATTGAAGGGCAGTTTCGAAAACTGGAATAAATTTCATATAACATGCTGCCGCAAATTTTCGGTAGAAATTTTTTTTTCATTTTTACACGAATTTTAAAAAACAGGAAAAAGGGGTAATTTATTATTTTTTAGAAAATTAACGAATAAATTAAAAATATTCACGAAATGACTAACGTTAAGCATGACTTTTACGTTCGATATATCCAGAAGAACCCTGTGAAGTTTCATCTCGATCTAGTCACTTTTTTTTTAAGGATTTTTCACATTTTTACCGCAAATAACGTTTAAATTGATGGAAAAAAAAATCGAAAAATTTTTGAAAAAATTTTCGAAATTTGACATTGAAGAAAACAAAATCTGTAATTGTTTCCAGCATGATTCGGCTTTTCGGTCCTATGGTTCTGTTCGTCAACTTTGAATTAAATGAAAATTAAAGTTGATGACCCAAAATAGATTTCGACCCCGATTCATACCGTTTTTTGAGACAAATTTCTAATAAATTTTTGTGCAGTCTGTAATCACTTAAAAAACAGTTTTTTCCAAAGTTTCCAAGTTTTTTCTTCTCTGAAAAAAATTTTTTTCATCAACTTTTAGAAACTGCCCTTCAATTTTCAAAAGGATCCTTTTCCATTAAAAGTCCGATATTTCGATGAAAAATGGTCGTATCGAAATTTAAAAAAAAGGAAATTGAAGCTGAATAAACAAGCTATCTGGTGCATGCAATGGTTTAGCTGAAAAAAAAAAAATCCTAGCCCGTGGACTTTTTTGTCGCGTTCTTTCTGAGATTTGTATTAGGTATAACCGTAGCTCCTAAAAATTTTCGACCGACATATCTAAAACTAGAATCTTAGAGCTTCAAAATTTTTAATTCCCGATACGACCATTTTTCACCTAAATACAGTCTGTCAAAAATAACGGAAAAATTTCGGAAATTCTTTTGACCCTTAATTGTTTGTATTAGTGTACCTATGTAAATTAAAGGATTTTATTTTAACTCAAAATTTTGATGATACGTCAATACAAACGTTAAAGACAGACGATGGTGTGGTTTCGTAGAAATATTTCTCAAAATTATAGTTAATAAAATGTTTTTATTTTGTTTCATTAATACATTTAATACAACAAATTATATAGGTACATAAAAATCATTAAAGATAATGCTTGTATAATTGTAATGGTAAAATTAAAAATATAAAACGCAAAAGTCAACTGAACTTGTTAAACATTATGAACAAATTATTATCTTTGAATAATGACATTAATACGTTATACATCAGTTAATAATAATCAAAAGTAAATGCTATAAGATGGTGTAAGTCAAAAGTTAAAAAACTGAGAACGCAGTGTACAATTTCAGAATAATAAAAAAAAATTAGTCTGTACTACATATATACAGTAATCAATATCAAATTGCATACTATACATATATTCAAAATATAAATATTTTCTCTACTACAGAAATTTCAATTTTGTGGATTGTCATTTAAAAAGTTTTCCTTCACCGATGGAAACTTTTCGTAGAGACCTGGGCTGACTGAAACATTTCCATTGTATTCCAGATTTAAGTTTAAACTTTCAGGTAATTTGCAGAACATATTTTCTGTGACAATTGCCAAGTGATTGTTTTGAAGTAAAAGGTATTGAAGTTTCGGAAGATTCTTAAATGCGTGGGGATCAATACTTTCTACGATATTGTCTTCTAGATAAAGCACGAACAATTTTTCTAGATTACAAAACACACCTTGGTTAATTTTTTTCAATTTGTTCTTCCCCAGATTCAAATCAGTTAGACATGAAAGGTTCTCGAATGCTCCTTCATCAATGTGGACTATCTCATTTTCTTGAAAATTCAGCCTTTCAAATGGTAGGCTGCTAAACGTCCTTTTCTTTATGTCGTCCAATTTATTTCTACTTAAATCAATTACCTTTATTTCAGATAGTTCGTCGAAGGATCCTGGTTCGATATATTTTATATTGTTGTTGTTAAGTATCAGCAGATTTAATTTTGAACTTTGGAAGATACCTTTGTTTATATCTGTAATGTTGTTATTGTCTAGAAAAAGTTCTAGTACGTTGGTTTCGGTGAAAGTACCAGGTTCAAGTATCTTGATTTGGTTTCTTCCCAAGTAAAGTTGTCTTATGTTTAAATTTTTAAAAGTATCAATCTCGATAGATTTTATCCTATTTCCAGTCAACTCCAACACCTCCAGGTTTTTTACACCTTTGAAAGAATAAGCTCCTAGATGACTTATTTGGTTCATTGACAAATCTAACCGTTTCAGTGATAAATTTTCAAAAGTATAATCTTCAATCGCATCGATAGTGTTGTCAGACAGATACAGAAGCGATACTTTTTTAAAACATCCACGTTCTAGTTTTGAAATATTATTGTTATTGAGATTTATACTGTACAATGGAAAATTATTAAAAACGTAATAATTTTTCAATTCATTACTTTCCAAGTTAACGCCATATATATTTGCTATTGGCTCCAGTGCATTTTCTTCTATGTATGTAATTTTGTTGTAACTTAAATCTAAATATCCCACACACAAGTTAGAGAAGGAATATTTTTTTATTGTTGTCAAGTTGTTGCGGCTCAAAACTAGGGAAGACAGACTTGAATTATTAAAAGCATTTGCTTCTATGTCAGCTATTTGATTTTCACTTAAATCGACATATCCATTGATGGGAGACAACACACCTGTCTTGACCGTTTGTAGCTTGTTTCTTCTCAAGGACAAATTAATTAACTTTGTGTTTAAGAAAGCGCCCTCTTCGATATACTCAATTTCATTTCCGTCTAAATATAATGTTTTCAACGGCAAATCGTTAAAAACGCCCTTACTAATGCCTTGTAACTTGTTCTTTGTTAGATTTATAAAATTTGTATCGGTTGCAGCAAAGACGCCTGCTTCGATGTGTGTAATACCGCATCCTTCTATCACTAGTTTCTTTATCTTCAGTCCGGTTAAAAAGTTCTTGTGCAACACCGGTAGATTTTGGTTGATTATTTTTACATAATTAAAATTGATTCCAGTTGATATGCAGTCCTTCAGGCTGTCAAAATTAGGAAATGTTCTTTCCTCAACCACTGGTTCATCCTCGAGGTTTGGAGTGTAAGAACTGTGCACGGTAATGTTTTGGTACATGACTGCAGAAGCGATTTGCACTACGATACCGAGAGTAGTCACCGTACGATGACGTGCGAATCGTTCGCTTCTGTATAGTAGAGATAAAAAATTGTTTATGGGCCACTTATATTTAGTCTTCTACGAAGTCGTTCCTTTATCAATTTTTATTATATTTATCAGTAATTTAATGATACTGATGCTGTTTACCGAATCTTTTATTATTTTAATGTATGTTTATCTTCAATATTGTATTAGGGAGTGCTTTATGGAACACGCAACCCGATATACACATCACACTAGACGGACTCAGTTTGAAGCAGGAAGCAGAGTGGGGCCATAATGGGTTTTGAGGTCACATGGCAGCGTTGGACGATTGAATGGTGTATTCAACAGTGATGCCATATTTGGGGATTTTCCCTAGATCTACTTTAAATTTCTAGAAACATGGAAATGAGGTGTCTATATAAAAACATGTGTATCATTAGTTGCTACTGTACTACTTTACAATGAAATTTGATATAAACTATAGAAGCAGTTTTGCTAATATCTCCTTATCTATGATTTAAAAAAATGTTCAAATAACATGTCATTATAGAAAAGTTATTGCAGTAACTCCATTCTGTCATTACTAATAAAATGAAGATGGTCAAGTCACAACTGTCAGCCAATTTCGTTTCACTTTCACATTTTTTATATTTTCCGGTAAATATTGATTTCATTGAAATATAAAAAATACCAGCAAGTTTTCTTATATTTTATGTAATAATCGAGATAGCTATGAAGTGTGTATTCAGATATACAGGGTGCTTTTAAATGAAGTAGCAAAAATGGCACCAGTTAGTGTAGAGCCAAAAATAAGAGGATTGAACTAAAAATACCTAAATATATCCTCTTAAAGGAGGGGATTGAATTCACATTTTAATTTTTTTCTATAACATGAGGAATGCTGGAGACACGAAACTTGGCATAAGCATCCTACTAATAAAGAGACAACTTTTCAATATTTGTTCGATCATTGGCGTACTTTATAAAGGAGTGAAACAGTCAACCCCATTGCAATATTTTATTAGAAATTTTTTATATTAAGCAAATTATTTATTTAAAAATATTTATTGAGAAGACTGATTTATTGCGCAACTTTTTTTTGCCTCTTGTAATTTTTCGATAAAACCGATAGTTTTCTAGTAAAAAAAATTAGATACGTCATCGATCACTAAAGAGGTAATAGCAAAAATTTTTAAAAATAAAGTAGGCGGATGTCATAACAAATAAATTGTTATTTATCATATTAATAAATTGATACCAAGGTTCATTTCTCTATCTGAATCTATAGCCCTACTGCTAAAGTCTTCTGTCTTTGTCACTCTCTTCTTCATCTCTGCATCTCGCGAACAAGATGAGTTTCATCAAGCTGTATATTGACAACATATCTTGATCTTTATTCCAGTAAAACCGAAGATATTGATGATTAAATCAAACCATCTGGAGGAATTGGAATGACCTAATAAATATTTAAAAGTTAATAAAAAACTATAATTACACCAAAACTGTATGTTACATATACATTTATCTGAATTTTAATTTTTTCTTTGCTCATTTTCGAGACATCAATTTTGAAGACTAAATAATTTTTGTTATTGGAACATAATTATTAAAAAGTTAAATATTCTCTGTACCTGCGCCTGATTTCTTAAAGAATAAAGTTATTATTTTTAATTGCTTTACCTAATTAAAGAAAGTTGACTCCCATCTTGTTTATTTGACTGATTTAAGGTTACACTTAGAACAACAAGAATAAACCTTTTGAATTAAAACACTGATATCTGCAAAGTAGAATTACCAACTGAATTCAATTTTCCAACTTGAATTAATTTTCATTTCGTTTTGTCTGTGAAGCAGGGAAAACAAAGTAGAAAAAGCCTATCCGATTTGAAATATTCATCATTTGTTCATGAATAAATGTATACCCGATTTTAACATCGACAGCTACTACCAATATGCAACAAGGATCTTCGTCTTTATATCACTTATCATAAACAATAAATCACTCGGCGGTTAAGGGCATAATATGACAAGTCCGTTAGGAATTATTGCTTTGCAAATGATAATTTGTTTAATTTACATTATTTTAACAAAATATATCATAATCTACAGAAAAATCATTACAAGAGACTTTTTTGTGGTATGTATGTATATACATATAAACTTTCATTATGCTAAGGGCTTAAGTAAATTTTCTTTTTGTCGTTTACGTGTTCCTGAAAAGGATGGACAACGCTTGACCACAGGTTCCTTGAATGAAAATAATACTCTTTAGCTTAACTTACCTATATACAAAAATGCACGCCTACTGAGATATAGCCTTCTAAATATAGAACAGATAACCTAGTTTTTTTTCAAATAATTTCAAAACTGTTTTTCTTAGATTTGGTACACATATTTTTTTATATAAGGGCAATGTAAATATAGAATTTGGTGAGAATACATATACAGAATGTTCTCTTTCTAGTGCCTGTGCGCCACTGGCTATCCCGTAACTTTTTGTGTGTACGTCAATGACGACATAATTTATATTTTTAAAAATAAGCACTATTTTAGAATATTTTTTTGCCTCTTACAAAATTTTGATATCGTTTATGAATTTCGAGTAAAATTGACATTTTTTACACATTACCTAAATAATATAAAATCAGTTTAAGGTAATTAGAACAGTCTAGTACGAGGTGCCATATAACAAAGAAACAAATTCATAACAATAATTAAAATGTTCAGTCTCAAGCGAGGTGTGATCTAATTTTGTCTTAATTTGTTTTTATTGCAATTTATACTTTTGCTGAACAAACTGATATGTTATTAGATTTTTGTTATTGTGGAAATTGTTGTGCTACTGTTTAAACATGTGCTGAAAGATTTCCTAATCGAAGAATTCCAAATCACAAAACATTTGCTAATGCGGAAAGACGCCTTCGGGAAACAAGACGTTTTTTTACCTGTAACATTAAATCCTGGAACTATTCAGCTGGAAGAACAAATTTTGGAAAAGGTCGAAGAAATTTCTCAAGTAAATACAAGGCGTTTAGCGGCAGAGATTGGCTTTCAAAAATTTTCGTTAATAGAGTATTAAAAGACCAGTTACGTTACAGGTTACTATCCTAACAGGTGGATATGTAGAGAAAATAATGCCCCTTTAAAATGGCCACCACGATCCCCGGACCTAAACCCATGTAACTATTTCCTTTGGGGAGCGTTGACGACCACAGTTTATAACATTTCAGTAAATACAGAAAACGAATAATGGGAAAGAATACAACATGAAATTACTGTTATGAGATGTAATGCACAATTATTGGACAAAATTCATTTTAATTTTCGAAGAACTAATGCTTGCGTTTAAGAACAAGGAAGTCACTTTGAGCATTTACTGTAATATTATTTTAATGTGATTACAAATATAAATTTAGGTTTATTTAAAATGTTAATGTTGACTTACATTATTAGTTGATATTGTTTATTTAAAATAATGTTGATTTTTATTTTATTGATTGATAATTCTAAGACTAAAAATGTGGTTATTTTTTTTAATGTGACGTTTTTTCATTAATATTCCGTGCTTTGAGGCTGCAATTATAAATTATTTTTTACAAATCGGAATATTTGCCTATATTTAATGTATAAAAATGCCAATTTTACTCGAAATCCACAAACGGTATCAAAATTTTGTAAGAGCAAAAAATCTTCTAAAATAGTGCTTATTCTTAAAAATATAAATTCTGGCATCACTGGTGCACACACAAAAAAATTACGGGATAGCCAGTGGCGCACATGCACTGGAAAAAGAACATCCTGTATATGTATCATCACCAAATTTTTTATTTACGTTGAACTTATATAAAAAAATAAGTGTACTGAATTTGAAGTTTCTAAGAAAACTAGTTTCCAAATTATTTGAAAAAACTAGGTTATCTAATCTATATTTAGAAATCTATATCTCAGTAGGCGTGCACTTTTGTATATAGGTAAGTTAGGCTAAATAGTCTTATTTTCATCCAAGGAACCTGTGGTCAAGCGTTGTACATCCTTTTCAGGGACACCCGGTATACTTCACTTTATACGACGAAAATGTTTATTACCGATATGAAATAATTTTGTATCGATTCTGATAATATTTGTTTGAATCGAATCAGTTTAAATACATACTTTAAAATAGAATAAATTATACAGATGATTTAGAAACAAGCCGCCATATGTTTAGGGGTTGGCGGAACATAAAAAAAAATGGTACAAGTAGTATACTTTTGGAGTTGTTAAACAAGTTGCTAACTAGGATTTTTTACAATCATGTGTGATTTACCGTGACAAATAGTCATCTAGTCCTAGGTAACTAAATATATTAACATTCGAGGCAATGATCTCGTCTAAATAGTTTTCTTGATTTTATTTTTCCAAACTACATATATTCTTTTTTACTTAAGATCTTAGGAGACCGTGGGTTTACCAGAAAATGTTTTCTGCATCTCAGTTATTAGTGCCGTATAGGTCAACTCCTTTTGTGAAATGTAACTTATAAACTTAGAACTTTTTAAATATTTACGCATACGAATGAATTTAGAAAAGTAATAATAAAAACTGAGTGGATTAGTGTTAGTTTTTGAATTATTCACCATCGGATTTGCAAACAAACCTGTATTATTTAGGCATTCTCTTATTTAAAAATTGTCATTTTTACTTTCATTTGTAACTATTTAAACATTTTTAAATTAAATATAATTGAGCAGTTTTGTTTTAAGCACATAGGGAAAATGAAAATGTGTTCAACATTATTCTGCTTTTGTCCGAAATAAACTTTTCAATTACTTTCCATTAAAGTTTATATTTCTCGCACCACTGATTTTTCAATAGAACGCATTACTATTAGTCCGTCTTTACAATTAATTTAAACTTTTACAATATTTTAAAAAACACAAGAAGCAATACGTAAATAACACAATTTTACACCACACCAGAACAAATTACCTACGGCGTAGTAGTAAACTTTTTGCTTTAAGAAAGTATACAGGGTGATTCATAAATGGTGACCAAAAAAATGAAACCTCGTATTCTTTGGTGAATTTTAAGTGCCCTTTCCTATAAAGTTTTTATCTAGGACGCTTCGTTAAAAAGATACAGGGTGTTAAACTTCAAAAAATATTTTTAATATTTTTTTTAGATAATTTAAAAACTAGTAATAATTTTAAATTGGGCTCATGTATTTATGTAAACATTGTCCAAAATCTGAGGGATTTTTCTAAAATTTATATGCTGCAGTGGCGGAGATACAGGGTATCATAGGCATATTTTTCTAAATAAAATAGTACGCCACTGCTTTACAGTAACAACCATGATATTTTCGGATTCGTCTTTCAATTTTCTACAAATTACTACGCTCTTACGTTTTTCGAAAAAAGCCTGACTTTCGAGAAAAACTTAAAAAACGAACTAAGAACACAGGGATAATATTGAACAAATTACCTTTTCGTTACTAAAAAGATGTCAGGCCTGTGTTTGTGGAAAGAAGGTATTTTTGAGCATTTACTCAAATAAAATCATTAAAATGATGACTAATTGTACAAAATTGAAAGACGAATCCGAAAATTTTATGGTTGTTACCGTAAAGCAGTGGCGTACTATATAGAAAAATCTGTCACCGATACCCTGTATATCCGCTACTGGAGCAAGTTTTAGGAAAAGACCTCAGATTTTGGACAATGTTTACATAAATACATGTGCCCAATTTCAAATTATTTCACTTATTAGTTTAAATTATTTAACAAAATTAAAAATATTTTTAGAAGTTTAACACCCTTAACGAAGATAGAAACTTTATAGGAAAAAAATCCTTAAAATTTACCAAAAGATACAAGGTCTCATTTTAGTCACCCTGTATATAAATAGTTTTTAAAATGTCATAGGCGTAGGAGTTACGTTTGACCAAATGGGCTGACTCTCCATACCTACGTCACTGATAACTGCAATGTTAAGTTATATTAAAATATAAAAAAAAAAATCAGAAACTTTAGAGGTCTGGATCTTGAAAGCAAAGCAATTCTCGACAAAGATTTATATAAATTTCATTGTTTATGATTTGCCTGACACATGCTCTTTGTGCTCTTCCCTGTATGTGCTGAAATTGTGTGAATTTTTACATTTCTTCCATAAAGTAGTGTTTTTGTTTTAAATACGTTAAAAGGTAATTATGTCTCAGAGACAAATGATACTAACGACGTATAGATAGTAGAAAACTATAAATAATAACAGTGACATTTAACGTTCTCAAAAATTTAATTGTATCACATTTTCAATGCAATACATTGCTTTTTGAGAAAGATACGTACCTACATGGCTAAAACTTAATTTAGAACCTAAGAGTCCATGGAAAAAATTGGCCTTTACTCTGAATTTGTAGTGTTTTTCTAAACCTCCTGTATTCTTTTTCCATTTATATATTAAGTAAATCAATGCTATTAAATAATGAGTGCAAATGCATTACCATCAAATAAAACAAATAACACATTTGAAAATGTTATAATAACATTTATTATATTCAACTCAAAGTTCATAACAATCCGCTAGTTTTGCGACATTGTTTCCGAAACTGTGAATATATCGGGATTATGTCCACATATTGCGCGCAGCTCATTAGAGAGATACACATTATCACAATGTACTATTAAATACCATCAAATAATCAGACACGACAATAACATTAACAGTAAAATGCATAATATTTACCTATATATCGTTGGCAGCTGGTTGGAGTCCTCACTAATGTTGTCATTGTTGTTGTTGTTATCGTTGTTGCCGTAGTTACATAGAGCAACTTGAGACATTATTTAGATGCTGTCTTAATAACTAACGGTATATAACTAATTATCACTGAATTTATTAATAATTAATGAGTGTATTGACGAATTATTGCGATTACGGTAAAGTTGTTAAAAAGCAATCAGGCACTACAGGGTTGTTCGTTTTTCATTAAGGCAACGAAGCTTTTTCGTCAAATCTGGAATAACTTTGTAATTATTATTGGAAATTTATTAAAATAATGTTAAGAGGAGTGAAAAGTTTCAAACAAGGCGATTAAGGAAATTTTAATAATTATTATAAAAATAATTCCAAGAAATTAAATTTTTAACGACCAGATTTCAAATGCTATTTAAAAATGTTATTTAAAAACATTGTTTTTGCAAATAGCAACGTATATAATTTTTTTGATGGCCTAATTGTGTAAATTGTTAAACTACATTCTTTGTCTCTTGATTAAAAAGTTAGAGGAAGAGCTAATGTTTTTAGTAATAGAATGTAACAAATTCATCTCGATCGATGACATATAAAAATGTAAAGTAACACATCTGATTGTTAGCATTTTAAAACAAATGATATTTTATTAGAAGATAAAAAGGAAACGATACTTGGACATTTAAAAAAATCAGTTATATTTTTTCGCATAGACACGTGGATCAAGAATTTATTATTTCTCAGTATTATCGAGATGTTATTAGAACTGAGTTTTGATGTCATTTATGCCGAGACTGAATGTACAGGGTGAGCAATTTCGACTTACAGATAAAACGTATGTTTGTTTGGGCCTAGATCTTCCAGAAAAATGTAAATAGCTGAAGAAACACAGAGCGTTTTGTAATTTTTTATGGTTTTTTGAGACATCGAACTTTTTCATTTGTGAAATTATTTGTTTTTTATTTAATTATTACCACGAATACACTAGTGTAAATAGTGGAAATACGTCGCAACGTATTTCGATCACTTCCGGTTTTTCAATTATGTATTTCAATCATCTTTAATGTATGTATTTACAGCATTTTTTCAAGTTATATCAAAAATTATTTCTTTCTAATTCAACTGTAGATCCAATTTATTTTGCTTTACCTTTTTTTCCCATCGATCGTCATGTCAGATACATTCAAGGTACACTTAAAGGTATTATATGTATATTGAAAATTTAAAAAAAGTTTCATAAAATGTAGTTATAAAAAAATCTACGAAATAAAAATTCATTAAAGCATTTCTTTATCAAAATAATGTTCACAAATGTAAGTTATTCGATATCACAAAAAATGCGAAAAACTCCCTAAAACTGGCCCACCTTCTTTTTAAATAACTTATTTAATTCAATTTTGATTAGTCTCTTATTTGACACACCCACTAAGTAGATCAAACTCTATTGGATCAGTCAGAGAAAACTTTCATTATGCGTCGCTAGAGGACGCAGGAAATCGCTATTAAAGTTTTACTAAACATCAAATTTTTGATAATTATTTCTGTAATCAATCAAGATGACATGCTTCAAATAAATGTCACTAGTAATTATGGTGTTAAGAATTGTAAAACCAGCTTAAGTAAATAAAATATTATTAGTAAATTTATTATCCTCATCTTATTTTTCCACAATTCTTTTACAGATCCAAAAAAATATATTATAGTGAAAATGAAACATACTTGTTTTAAACAATTTTCGTTACAATTCGTAACACCTTAATTTCTAATGTCATTTAGAGCATGTCAACTTGATTAATTACGGAAAGAATTATCAAAAATGTTTAATAAAACTTTAATAGCGATTTCCTGATAAACGGTTACATTTACCTGCTTGAATAAAGAGTACATATTTTTTATGATATTATTTCTCATTTCAACAATGTTTAAATCTTTTGGGATGTCTAGCAAGATAAAAAAGTTATGAACAAGACAAGTTTTGAGTTCTAGGTAAAGTGCCCTCTAGCGGCGTATCATAAAAATTTTCTCTGATTGGATCAATAGAGATCGATCTACTTAGTGTGCCAAATCAGAGACTAACCGAACTTGAATTAAATAAGTTATTTAAAAAGAAAAATAAAAAAAATAACTTTGACAAGCAATAACTTGTAAAAATTTTCATTACATACTGCTATTATTTTAATTCCTAGAATCACCTCCCGGAGTTTCCTGACGCACTTTCAGAACACCCTGTACATCTTTACATATTTTGATAGAATGCTTTCTCAAGTTTTCGATGCTTGATCGATGTATCTCTAATAGTAAAGAAGATTTAACCAACATCTATAGCATACCTATTCTTTTTGTCATACCTTCTTTATTATTAAAGATAAAAGATAAGTTAAAACCTTACATTATTGTTGAATGTTAAGAAAGCGTTCTATCCAAATATGTAAAAATATACAGGGTGTTATTTAAAAGAAAGCATAAGTTTGATTTGTTCCAAATTCAACATTAAATTGCTTTTCTAAGTACAGTTTTGAAATGACAAGAAAATTTCCTTCAACTTTAGTTCATATAATTTTGTTAAATATTAAATTAAAAAAGGTAAGAATTTTTGTGAATTACCCTGTACATATAAGGTGAGAAAAATAGTGTAACGAACTGAACGCTGATAGTACCTCCCAGAAATATTATCTAAAGTGTATCTTACATAATGTTATAATATAAAATTGACGTAAATGTTTTAATCTATTTTCCTTGTTCTATTTCAATATTCAAAAAGGTATTAACATAAAAGCCACTTTTTTATTTACCCCTAAGTTTGTTACATTATATTATTTTGACTTTGATTAAACTTTTTGATTATTCGAATATGGAAAAATAGACCTAATACATATTTTTAATACGTTTGAAACACACTGTAGGTAATATATGTTTTTTTTGTTTATTTAAACGTCCCATTACAAACCAGCTGACTTCTCAATGTTTTATTAAAATGCTCAAACTCCTGCTTACGATTTTCTCGCAATATTCATTATCGTTTTCGAAGATTTTACTTTTATATATAATTAAAATCCAAATATTTGTCGTTTTAATTATAATTTCTTAAATAAGCTATAGGGAAATGAAATTTGGAAACAATCATGTATGTATATCAAACTTCTATAGTCGGAAAACAGTGAATAAAACAACAAATCGTTACAAAAATAGAACAAAGGGTAGCCTGCTAGACTTGCCGTCTGCGAGCCACTCTAACAAATTGATTTTTCACCTTGTTTTGATTGTAACAACTTCCCAGCATCACATAATATGCATGCATGGATTGTGTTGCTGAACTAATGTTTATTTTCTTAGAAAAATTGAATAAATTTTCCATTTCCATTATTGAAAATTTTATTTACGGCAAACGTCAAATTACTCCACTACATTACATTATATGGCATAAGGTAGTGAAAAAAAGTGATAATAAGCGGATCATGATTTTTTACTTGTAGTTTTAATTTCATTTCTGTAGAATAATACAATACAATACAAACATTTTATCGAAATTTCCTTCTTAATTAAAAATTTAAGAAAGGTTTGCTAAAAAAATCAAATAAATGATATTCGATATTGATTTTTAATTTGTTATGTGAAATAACAGAAATATTGTGAAGGGCCAACTTTTCTGGGCCGCAGAAAAAAAAATTAGGATAGTGTTTTGAAATATTCTAACAGCAAGAGATGATTGGCCTTTAGTGATATATGGTGTAGGCATACCAAATTAACTCTTACTATGAATTAATTCTTGATTTTATTGAAAATATTTATAAGTTACAAAGTCCAATGTTTTGTTGTAATTACTGTGTAAATTTAATTAATAAATAATTTCACGAGAATCAGGACCAATTCAAATCATGTTGAATTATTTTTATCATAAACAAGGTTGGGATTGTACCAGAGTTCATTAAAAAATTGTTGAAAAATCTACTAAATCTATGTCGTCAATAAAATGACAATTTTGTGTATTACACATAACAATTAATTCAAGGTCAAAAATGTAACATTTTCTTTGACTATCTAAACGTAAACATTTCCTGTTTTTTTTTATTCATTTTTGATGAAACGAGGGAAACCAATTATTTGTTAGCATTTAACTCTTTATAGTATGAGAAATTTTCATTTTTTCAACGGAATTACTACTGACAAAAACATTAATTTTGAACTGTTTTGGAGGTAAGTATATATTATTATTTATTATTTTTATATCAAATGTCTATGAACATATGCCCAATTTAAATTTTTTATATAACAATATGGTTACTAATTGTATATAATTTATAGTAAATCATTGCTGATACTATCCGAAACTGTTTATAATATAAAATAATCCACTAATATGTTATATTTAACATATTTTCAGTACTGAATAAAAAATAATTCTGAAAACATATTTGTCACACATGTTTATTCCCATTTTAGATATTTTTACATGCACTGAGTGTAACATAGTTATAAATGTAAATATAATTGTTTAATCACAACGCAAATTCTGGCATTCATTGAGCAATTATTATTTAGAAAAAAAAATACTGGCGCATTCGCCATTTATTCGATTACATGTAAACAAACTGAGCCGCTCGTTCGGTTCGCCTTTGATGAAAGTTAAATAAAATCATTTTCTGTACACCAATGCCACTTTTACATATAAACTGCAGCAAATCTAAATCCTTCTACATCTTTCAATACCTATCGCTAATAATAGCACACTCTCTTAAAACGAATCCGCTATGTGGATACTAAACTCTATCAATACTAGCCTATGGGTTGACTGCTAATCATGCGGACACACATAGTTCCAGAAAAAAAAATTGTGTTTACCTTCAGCGTTAACCTAAATAAACGCCATCCCCCACGTTATGTAAGAATCAGACAATTGCCACATTCATAACTGCAAAAGGGAAATCGATACATATTCTGTGTTTTACTGCGATAATAATAAATTCTTGGCATATTCGAGGACAATAATAAACCGAAGTGTTATTTCATTTTATCTATTTTTAAATGTCAATTCGCTGGCACTGTTTCAAGGGACAAACTAACCTCTATGAAATCTTAAAAACTAAGTCGATTAGGTTTAACCCGTGCGAATTTATTAATTATTTAATGTAAACTTTAAAATTGGAGCTACTCTTCATTTATCACACTATTTATTTAAAGGAAGAACTATTCGTATTATTAAAAATCAATATTTCTCCCGACTAATTGATTAGGTATTTACACTGCCGAACTTATTACCACTGGCAATTTACACTAGGTAACGGATTATTAACTATAACAATTTATCTGTGTCGTATTATAACCTCTATTTATTTTAAGCATGCTGTTTATGTTAGTTATGTCAACGAAACCGTGCTGGATTTTTTCACAACCATTAGTTAAGCTAGTTTTACGATTGTTTAGAATTAATAACAACAAATTAATCACAACATTTTTATAATACATATAAAATTAACAGCTAGAAGGACGATCTTATATTATAATATGGGCAGTCTGGTGTCGTCATTGCAGTACGCGACCGCGCACGAGCAATGCCGGCGGCTGCCGAGCGGCCCGCAGGACCCTACGACTGCTGAGTCGCCCGAACGTTCCACGGATGCTTGGGATTTTTTTGCCCTGCGAACTTACCCCCGCATTTCTCGACCGAAAAGCTGTGTTGTACTTTCCCTGAATAAATGTTTGATAATGGGTGGCATGATAAGTGTGAACATAGCTTTTTTCTAAATTATTTCACGCCTAATCGCTGCAAATTGGTTGAAAATTTGCCGTAATTAAGAGTTAAGTACTTAAACTAGGAATATATGGGGCGTTCTATAAGCTCTATGACAATCTTTGACAGATGGTAGCTGGGGTAATTTCAAACATTTTTTCTTACATGAAAATAGGTCCGATTCCTTTTTGTTTAGTAGTTACAAGCATTTTAAATAATATAATTTCATATTTCAATCAAAATAGCCTGATAAATAAAACAGATGTTGAGTTCTTACTTGACAGATTAGCAGCAATTAGAGAGATACAATAATGTAAAATTCGACTTGCAAACTGTTAAACACAGAGTACCCCAGGGATCAATACTGGGGCTCATACTATTTTTAACCTATATTAATGACCACTTAACTCGTTGGATAACGATGTTCTGGAAACTTTGTTTGATGATGGCACTTATCTGTCAGTAAGAAGTAAAATACTCTTAGATTTAATTAATACAATCCCTCAGACTCAGTTAACTGCTAATGAATGGTTTACCCTAATAAGCTTTGATTAAATATATCTAAGTCCGAGACCATGATATTTTCATTGCGAGAGATCGGGTGTAAGGCTAAGTGAACATTCTAGTGACAGCATATTATGGTTGTATTCATTCTCACATATCGTATGCACTTATTGTGTGGGGTCATGCTACTTCTGCTATAGATGTGTTCGCGTAGCAGAGAAAAGCAATTAGGATTATCTCAGGTCTTAGTTATAGAGATGACTGCAAAAATCAATTTATTAAATTAAATATTCTAATAGTTCCATCAATGTACATACTGCAATGTTTTCTATACACAAAACATAACTTAAATATTTTTCAGACTAGAATTGACTCATAATATTAGATCTAAGGTTAACCATTCAGTAAATTTTAGTAGAACTGGAACGGATTACATTGGTGTACATCTTTTTAATGTTATCCCATTGCATGTGAGAAATCTGAATTGTAAACAATTTAAAAGCAAAATGCAAAAATATTTTTTACAAAATGCCTTTTATAACATTCAACAGTTTTTAACAAGTGTTTTACTTTTATATTACTTTTGTATTTTAATTTGTATAATTTTTATCTCAGTTTAAACCATTTACTTGTATTATTGTACGGTCCCTATATGATATTGTTACTTTGATATTTCACTTTTGTCTGTAGTTTTAAATAAATAAAGAAAATTGAAAGCAAAATTAAAAGGGCAAATTCAAAATTAGAATTTTTTGGCAAATTCCTTTGCAGAAAATATGATTCTTTCATTTGATGGATAATAATTAAAAAGCAAGCATACAGTTCAAAATTCTAATAGATACGAATTTATTTCAAAATCTAAATAGTAAAACCGGTGTGAGTACTATATTTTAAGAGCAGCATAAGTACATAAATCGCTTCTAAAATATCTCCATGAGAAATATTATGTATCATGTTATTTTCATGTGACGATAGAAATAGATCGAGAGTAAAACTTTTGAAGGCGGTTTTAGTGTCATATTTTGTAAACATGTATGTATCTCTGAGTATATTTTGACAAATTCTTGTTTAGTCACAGAGTAAGGATGGATTATTTAATGTCACTTGTTTTCTACATACAAAGATACGAAATTAATATATTTACTTACTTTGTTTCACATATAATTATCCCGTTATACAATGGATTTTCCTAGTTATAATTCATTTTCAAGGTTTAGTTGTAAGAAAATGAAAGTATCATGTAGTTTACCAAGATTTCAGAAGGCATTTCTAGCAATTTATTTAATTTACTTTTCTGATGGAAATAAATTAGAAAATAGAGATTTAATTCTATCCTCTTTTAATTTTGACCAATCACAAAATAATTTTTATTAATTGCATAAATTGATAGTAATCTGTAATTTTGTGTAATTATCGAGTGTCTCAAAATTCAGGCAACATTCAAATTTTGAGCTATTTTTGCGGTAAAATGTTGCCAATGAAAAAAAAGATGCGTGACAGCTGACAGTCAGGGTTATTAAAAATGGACCGATATGCTAAACAACAACGCCTTTTGTCAGTAATGAGAAATTTTTAAAGTTATTGTTCGAAGTACGATTTTAGCTTACTGTTATTATTCTATATTTTATTTGGCCATTTTTATTTGTATGGTAAACAAATTTATTGAAATGGGCTTTTGAAAATTAAAAACTAAATGTTTATTGAATGCATGAGCTCTCACAGAACGCTGACGCAAATACGTCGAATTATTTCGTTCAAAACGGAATGAAAAACTAATTGAATTTGTTGATTAGTGCACCCATCCGATAATGTCGAAAGGGACGAACTGAGTTAACTATAGATCAAAGTAAGTTAATCCCTGTGCCAGTTCCCATTTATTTGTACAAACTCAGTGTTAGGCAACGAAAAAAAAAAAAAAAAATTGCTGCTTGCTGAAAATTTAAATCGAATCATATAACAGTTATTACTGAATATTACAAAGTGAAGGGTTTTTTAAGGGCAACAAAATATTTACATATTAATTTCACACATGCTGTTTGTTAAAAATTTATATAATTTTGAACTAAAAATCTTTCAGTCAATTCCTCATATTTATTTTTTCAGTCATATACGCACATTTTTTAGTTGAAGCAGGAATTAAGTTAAAGAATTTTGGAGCATAAAAAAGTAGAATTTGTCTGTGATGTGATTTTTTAATTAAAGTTATGTTAATGGCATTATACGTTATAGTTTTTGTTTGTTTGATAGTTGTATAAAAACAATGGAAAATCTGTTCAGGAATAGCAATAATAAACATACAAGAATTGTGCATCAAACACATAAATTCCTTACATTACACCCATTACATGAGGCTATAGTATAAATAGATAAAAATTGTACTCCTCTAAACCTATCGATATTTTTCTTCCATTCAATAAAACAGCAGAAAATAAATTGTTTTCATGCCAGACATTAAAATAATGTCAAACAGGAACAAAGCAAAAACAAACATAGAAGTTCCTGCAGAAAGGGTATTTATCCGCCTAAACTGAAGGCTCAGGTTTTGAGCCCTGAGGTATAACTGAAATTGTTAAGTAAACAAGTATTGCCAACGGCATATTTGTTCAAAGCGATATTATGCTCTCACGCAAGTCTGTCAAATGCCTTTGCAAAATTTGTATATAACGAGCGTTCAAATAAAAACGTGGTCGAAGTTGGCTCTGACACATTGGACGTTGGGAGTAGCTTATAGCGACCAACTTAACCTCATTTCTCAACGAGCTGTATAGCAGCTGTCAGTTTCAATAACGTTAATGACTATATAACTTTATTTTAAAGAATAATCGTGATAACAATAACAAACAATTAAAGGAGCTGCGGAAAGTGTCGCCGTCCTTGTTATAACAATAAATTAAAGCAGCTGCTGAAAGTGTCCCCCTCCTTGTTCCAAGCACTTTTCACACCTGTTCCTCAAATAATTAAAGACATTTTCTAAGATGCTCGGGGTGTTGTTAATTTCACGAATCTTGTCTATAAGTCGAGCCTGCAGATGGTTTAAATCAGGAATAGGCAGTTCAAAAATAGTGTTTTTAAGGTAAGGCCACAAAAAGAAATCACACGGCGTAATATCACATGACCTCGGTGGAAATTCATGTTCAGCATTGAGATTTATTAGTCGATTTTGGAAAACTTCCCTCAACATATTCATCGTCTCGCCTGCCGTATGTGCCCTTGCGCCATCTTGTTGAAAGTAAAAGTTTGTAATTTCGTTTTCTTCCAGCTGGTTAACAAAAGGAGCGATAATTTCTTCTCTATACCTTTGCGCAGTAAGAGTACCATTAAAAAAAATAGGTCCATAATCCTCCTTCGATTGAGAGCACACCAAACTCCAATTTTTTGAGCGTGTAGAGGGCCCCCGACAAAAAAGTTATCTGGTTTTTCAGAAGACCACATTCTCATATTCTGTGAGTTTACGTAACCACTTAAATGAAACCAGGCTTCATCAGAAAAAAAAGGTGATATTATGAAGTTCACAGTAGTTGTTTAAAAACCATTCACAAAATACAGCCCGTCGCGGAAAATCAACTTCATGAAGTTCTTGCTGACAAGTTAAACGATAGGAGAACAAACGCAAATCTTTTTTTAACACTGTGTGGCAGGTACCGACTGATACTCCCACCATTTGTGATAAAACACGTACAGAAGTTCTTGGCGCATTTTCCATTATTTGTTGGACTTTTTCTTTTAATTCTTCAGTCCGCTTTTTAGGTCGGCCGCTTCCTTCTTTTCTTGTTACACTGCCCGTTTCACGAAAAACATTAACACAACGCTGAACTGCACTTTGAAAAATTTTGTACTCAACAACGCCGGAAAATTGATTTTGAAATCCTATGAAACATTCCTCAATAGAATACTTCCATATTCCATCAATCTTGCGTCCATTTCTAAAGTAGGACTCTATGATAAACACTTTTTGTTCTTGAGAAAACACCATTTTAAACGCTTTTTAAAACGAAAATATTCAAATTGATAGCGGCGATATAGCGCTTTGACACATGACGTTTAAGTTCATTTGCTATACGCTACGCCCTACGTCCAAATTTTCAGAATCAACTTGACCACGTTTTTATTTGAACGCTCGTTATATAGTGTTCACTAAGGTATCAGAGATACATTTATTACCTAAATACTGATAAATT